ACAGCCTGCACTAGAGGCCTCTGTAATGTTGTTTAGTGCCATGCATTGGACTATCTAGTAAATTCTAGGAAGTAGATTTCCAGTCAACCTAGGAAGGTTCTGAGTTGTACTCCTCTGGGTTTCTTTCCATATTTACAAAGTCTAAAACTAAAACCGCTGGTCCTTTTTCTCTCTTAACATTCTATTGCGAAAATTTCTGGGCATATAGTAAACTTGACTGAGGTTGAACATTAATCTGTTTTTAAAAGTCACATTTTAGAAAGTAAGTTACAGACCTTTGAGCACGTACAGTAAATCTGTGTTGTCGCCAGTTCCAAACTTGGCTTTTCGCTTCCCTCTACTGTTCTTTTCCCCAGACTTTTTAAATGAAATTTTCTAGACACAGAAGAGTTGAAACTGTAGCTGCGTTATGTCGTATGCACACCCTTCTTTGAGGCCCATTCGCTGTGTTGCTGCACTAACATTTTTTGTGGAGCCATTTGAGAGCTTGCAGTAAATTGCAGACGTCGTGACGCTTCTTACGATAGGAATATTTTTCCTTGTAACTATATTGTAACTAAGAAAATTACTTCATTTCTTTTTTCAGGAATAGAATTTAGTGATTCATCACTTACATAAAAGTGTTCATCCCAACCAGTGTCCCCCTTAATGCTCCTCACCTCTTTAGCCCATCCCCCCACCCAACACCCTGACAGCAACCCTGTTTGTTCTCTTTAAGAGTCTCTTATGGTTTGTCTCCCTTTCTGTTTTTATCTTATTTTTTGTTTTGAAAATAATTTCTCCTTTAATATTTAGACTCTTCAGAATTTAGTGGTATATCATTTTTCACATAAATATTTGTGGTAATACACACTCCTCCTGTCTGTGTTGACCCATTTGTAACAACCTCTTTAAGACCGCTGTATTTTGGCCACTAGTGCTCCCGTTTGCTTTTCCAGTAGTGGTCCAGGTGTTGGGACCTAACATCTTTGCTTAGTTTTGGAGATGTATTTCTTTTTTTATAAATAGCACTGTTGGGTGGTAGCAGCTGGCAGCAAATAGTTTGATAACTTAATTTCTATTATATGTTTATTATTAACTATATCTGAAATGTTGAAACAGTCATTTCTTACCCTTTTTGGAAATAGGATATAGTGTCATTGATTTTTGTGGTGTTTTCTCTTCCTTTATGGAAACAGTCTATATGTTTATTGTTAAAGTAGGAGGTTTATCTTAGCAGCGCCCCTTGCAGTCTGAATGACCGTGAGGCAAGCTACTTTAACTTCATGCTGCAGTTTTTAAGTTTCTAGAGTAGTGTGGTCACTGTGTGTGCCTCTTTGGGGTTGTGAGGCATCTGGGCAGGTGCACGCACAGCAGTGTGTTATCCGTGGTGTGTATCCTGGGACATTTATTTTTCTGTGAAACCGTTTGTGACAATTGTGTGGTACCCTTTATGATTATTACAGAAGGAGAATTTTGAGTTTCAAACCTAATTAATGGCACATTTTATTTATTAACAAATTTTTTTTTTAATGTTTATTGTTAAGAGAGAGACACAGAGTGCGAGCGGGTAGGAGCAGAGAGAGAGGTTGACACAGAATCCGAAGCAGTCTCCAGGCTCCGAGCTGTCAGCAAAGAGCCCGATGTGGGGCTCGAACTCACAGGCTGTGAGATCATGACGAGCTGACGCTTAACTAAATCACCCAGTTGTCCCCTAATGGCACATTTTAAAGATTGTTTAGCAAAATTGCAAGACTGGAGAGTTGGCTGTATTTAGTAGAGATGGATTTGGCAAAAGAAAATCCAGAATTTTGTCTTCCCCAACTTCTTATTAAGAAAATTTTCAAATTAAATAAAAGTTCAAAGAGTAACATTAGCATGCCTGTCAGATTCAGAAATTTGTAGTTTGCTGTTTTCACTTTATCCTATGTATATTTCATTTTCTTTTCCTGAAGTATTTGTAATTCCCTTGCGGATATTATAGCTGTCTGCCTCCAAAAATCTCAGCACGCATTTCCTGAGGTGACTGTGCTCGAGTGCGCCCGCAATGTCACTGGTGTGTGCTCCCACGGTGTCCTCCACCACGCCCTAAGAGTCCTGTTTACATTTCTCCACTTGCCCTAAGTGTCCTGTACAGCTTTCCCTTCCAGACCGTGTCCTCGGGGTTCACCTCTCTGGCTGGAAGAGTCCATGGACGTTTCGGAGGGTCTGGCCTGCTTGTCTTGCGGGCACTTGAGTGTGGCTCCCGGGTCACCTGTTTACTGTAAACTGGAGATTGGTCTGGAGGCTGGGAGGTGTGCCTGTTTGCGTGGCCCCTGCAGGGATGTCCTTCCCGGCCGGTCTTCACCCCGCAGTGCCAACATCTGCCAGGCCTCTCCAAACCTAGCACCGCCTTTTCTCTGTCTTTTGACAGAATTTTCTGTAAATACTTGCAAGAAACTTTTATAATTCCCAGTCTCCTAGAAATAATGAGATTTTCCTGTCTCAGCAGGTAAAGTTTTTTAAAAAAAGTTTTTCTGCAATTTGTCTTCTTTACTAAATTAATTACGTTGGAGTAACATAATAAGGTAAAGGTGGTATGTTTAAAAGTTTTTTTTTTTTTTCCCCCAGTAAGTTTTGCCCTTTCCAGTCAAGAGTGAGATTTTGTTTTAGGAAAGTTTTTTGAAGCATCATACGGTGAGTGTGGGGACAGCACAGTGTTCGTGTGAGTGAGAGCTCAAGAGTGTGCCTCTTTTGCTTGGGCTCTCTGTTTCTGGAAAAGATTAGGCAGTTGGAATATTAACTGCAACTCAGAAAAGGGAGAGGACTTTGATCTAAAGTCTTGCTTTCTTATGTTCAGAAAGCTCCCTGTGTAGCCTTCCCCCACCCCGCGGCTGTGCCTTGCACGTTTTAGAGGAGTGACGCTCATCCTGGGGACCGCAGCGGGGACTGGTACCAGGAGAAGCTCGGACGTGCCCGTGAGGAGGGCGCACTTGGAACAGGAGCAGGCTTGGTCTCCCATGTTGCGGAACCAGTGTAGTGCACCGGGCTCCGACCTGCTGATGTGTGCACGGTACAGCGTTCCCTGGTCTTCGAAGTGATCTTGTGAAGAGCAGCAGGGGTCCGGTGCTCTCCATTTGGGAAACGGTACTTCGGGTGAGGGGGGAGCAGATGGGGCAGAAGGGAGCAGGGGGCGCCAGTCAGGGTCAGGTGGTGGCGGGAGCAGTCCTCTCTGGTGTGTGGGGGGCGTCTCCCTAGCAGGTGGCCACTTGCCCGCCCAGGCGGGGACTGTCGTTGGATGCTCACTCCAGGTAGGAGATTATGTTTGTTGGCCTTGCCTGATGGCTTACGATGTGGGCACCGTAGGAGGGGGCTGGGTCAGGGTTTGCCAGGAGAGCGAGTGACAAGACAAGAAGAGTAAGGAAACGGAGGAAGGCAGGGGAGGAGCTGTCGTGGTGGATGTCCGAGGAATCAGAGTAGTGAGGAGGGCACTTAGTCCCCGAGGAAGACCGTGGACAGTGGCACGGTGGTGAGGTCACGGAGGGAGGGAATGGTGGCAGCCGGAAAGCGTGGGTGGGCGTGTCCGTGTGACGGAAGGGGACGATCGAAGGTGGTTGAGGATGTTGTGGTTCTTGGTGATGAGAAGGTGCGGGCTGTGACGCTGGAGGCGTGGGGGCTGGAGGGGCAGCTGTTTTGAAGCGATGATGTCCAAGACCTGAGGGGTGAGCTGCAGAGTCCTTGTTGCCGAACACGGAAGAGGAGAGTGGGCCCCGGGTCCCCGGGTGGCTGGAGGACCGGCTGGCAGGGGCTTCGGCCCCGTGGGCTGCATTCGGCCTCCTGGAGGTGGGCGGGGTCCTGCAGGGCGGGGCTGTCATGTGACAGTTGCCAAGGGAGCCGGTGCTGCGGGCGCTGAATGAGGTCGGGGAGCAAGGCTGAGCGGCTGAGAGTGGACTCTGGGAGACGGGTGGTAGCCACTTGTCGGGCAGCCTTGGGCAGCGAGGCGGGCAGAGCCCGGAACCTTAGAGGAAAGAGCCTCGTCCGGAGACGGGTGCTGTGTCCTCGCTGTGTGTGCCACCTCTGTCCTTCCTGAGCCCCACACAGTGAGCACAGCCTGCAGGGTCCCCCAGTGAATTAATTCTCAGATCCTGTCATTTTTGAGTCTGTCTTCCTCGAATAATGAGAAAGCTTTATATTAGTTAAGAATTTTTAGCAGTAAAATGGACTCTTCTCTCCTCCACCAATTAGGCTTTTTAATTTTATTCCATTCTGTTGCATTTTTGTCTCTAGAAAATGAATTCAGCGTGGTCTTCAGTTAAACCTGTGAACACAGGGCTGTGGTTGTGCGCGTGAGGACTGAATACGCGAGAGCCGAAAGCAGTCCTGTGCGTCCGTGCAGTTTGCAGTAGACGCTCTCGTGGTCTGGAGAATGCGTGTCCCCACACGAGTTTCGTGCAGACTGACCCTGCACCGGAGTCACATTTGGTTTGCAGGATAAGCTGCTTCCCTAAGATGACTTGACTGTCCCACGGGTGCAGAATTTGCTGGTCCCTTCCTCTGGTTTCTGGAAGCCTGAGGGGCCTAAAGGGCACCGCCGGCTTGTTGGCTGTTCTCTTGCCCCGGCGGCCGGCCTGCTGACCTGGTGCCCAGCTGTGCTTCGGACCTGAACTTGACTCCTGTGCTGCCCCTGCTCCGGCTGTCCTGGCGCCCTTCCTCCCTGTGACTGCCACCCCCTCACCACCTCCGTGGGCTCGGTCTTTGTGTCCCGTTGAGGAGACGGGCCATAGCAGTGTCTGTGGTCACTGACGCCCTAGCGTCCGCCTTTTACTGATCCTGGCAGCAAGGGGGTGTCGGGGTAGGGTGAGGGGCAGGTGCACCCTCCGCTGCCTCCCCCGTGTCCTCCGCTCGCGGGTCTGAGGAAATCAGGCTGGTCGCTTCTGGGCGGGGCACTTCATAGCTGACGTCGTGTTTAAAATTTTACGTCAGCTGGCGGCTCGCTTGTGTGGATGCTCTAGTAACGAACTATTACTTCGCTGTTTTTACAGAGTCCTTATGTTCACACATGTCTCTGCTGAACTTGTAAAAGAGGCACTTGGATGATGGACTGAAAGGAACGTTGAGAGTCCGGGAAAAGTTTCAAATCGGAGAGTTTTCAATTTTCACCCTAGTCCGGCAGCTGTGCTGCTCACGTACATACAGATGAATGAAGACCCCATTCGGGAAGACACCTGGCCAGCGGTCCAGAGCGGATGCAGGTAGGCGGGGCGGCCCGGCGTTCTCCAGTCAGCGTGCCACCGTGGGGACCTGCTCGGATGCGTCCGCACGGCTCCGAGGGTCGGCTGTTCTTCCAGCCCCGTGACGGCCAGTGTTTCGTACACCTACGTGTGGAAAAACAGGTTCCTTGTTTGAAAGGCAGGGACGAAGCTAGTATTTTTCTCCGCGGTCTTTCGCCTCCCGCAGGTTGGACCTCCAGCAGATTCGCCAAGTGAAGCGTAAATACCCGCTTAATGGGGTTGTAATCAGGAGAGGATTTGTCATTTCTTTTTGAAGAAAGAAGTGAAAGGGGTTTGACTAGAGGAGTAGGAGGTTTAGGGTGTTTGTAGTAGTTTTGATGAAAAAAGCTTTTGTATGTTGATTTGGAAGAACTTTATTGGAATGAAAGGGATGGAAATGAAAGAGATATTTAATGGAAATTACTTCCTACTTTGGTGGCCCGCAGTTCGTGCAAGTAGAACAGAAGGTTAGACTTTGCGTGATTTTTACCCTCCCCAGAAACCAGGATGATACAGGGCGCACTGTGAAATAGTTAAGTCCTGCTTAGGACCTGAGCTCTTCTCCATGCCAGAAATAAGTCTGTCGTAACATTTTAAGATTCTTTGATGAATGAATCTGAGAATCATGCTAGCAAAACTAATAAACCTACAGAATGGTTGCTGTTTGATTTAGAACTGTTCCTTGTTTTTATTAACTATAGTGTTTGGAATTCCTTTGTAGAAGAGCCACCGGGATTCACATTTTTAAGTACCCCTTTTCTTTTATTTTCGTTTCTCATTTGTGAAGATAATATGGATTCCGGTGTTCGGCATTTGTCAGTAGGATTACTTTGGCCTGAGATGACAGACTGAAGTGTCAGCCATCTGCCGGTGTGTTGTTCAGATCCGGGCCCTCGCGGCCGCGTAGACACAGGTGCACGTCGCGTCTTCTCGAGCCCTGGTTCTTACCGCCTAAGCAGGGGTGTGTTGTGGTGTGTACCTGCGGAGGTTCTGAGGACGAATGAATGAGCTCGTGTGTCGGGGCGCAGTTGGGTGCCCGGCACACTATAGCTGTTCTGTGGAAAAGCATTGTTATTGTTGATCATGGAGTTTACAAGAAAATATTTTTATTTTAATTGCGAGAGTTGTTGTCAGGTGTTTTGTTGATCAGTGAAACCTCCCGTGTTTCTGCCGTTTGAAACAGTAATTCATTTTCCAGGGTTCTTTTTATGCATACCATTCCAAATTCAGCACTCCTGTCTTCTTCCTTGATTTTGAAGTCCTTGTCAGGTGGGAGAGCAGATTACAGCGGTGGGTCGCGGGGTGGGTCGCGTGGTGTAAGTGCCCCAAGGATCTAAACCGAGAGAGGCTCTTGCTCTTAAGGGAGAGATTGTTAATCCTAGCCAGTGCTTTGATCTTGTGTTTTTCTTACTCCTTGGCAGTTTTAAGAGTGTGTGGTATAGGCTGAAGACAGAGTGGGTACTCTGTTCCAGGTGGCCCGTTAGATACGTTAACATGAGACCGTGGAGTCTCTTACCGTTCCCAGCTGTTGTGTGGTGGTGTTCGATTTTGGAAAATTGCCGATCCCTTGATCAGTATTGTTTATAAAATTGTCTTCAACCATTCTTCCCATTAACATAGACCAAGACTCTGTTGCTTTTAAACTCCTATGTCAGTTATGAATGTGCCCATTTACAAATAAAGAAAATTCACCCAAAAGGGGGGGGTTCTCTTTCTCCTGCAGCAGGAAACCCAGGTAGGCCTTCCAGGGTCGGTACGGTAGCTCAGCTGTGACCATAGGCTGCTGCCATCTCAGAGCTTACAGCTGAGAACCTCACCGGGTAGGGCCTTTCTCCTCCTCTGTGGGCCTCTAGGGAGCTGGACTAACCCGAAGGCCCCCAGAACAAGTGTCCCCAGAGAAACCGGCATAGCTGCAGGGCTCTCCTGGTGAAGTCTGGAACTTTGGTGTGCACACTGGCTGACTTCTGCATTGCATTCCTGGAGGCCTTCCTGGGGGCGGACCCAGGTTCAAGAGAGGGAGCCAGTACTGTGCTTGATGGGGGGAGGGACTGGGGGGGGGGAGGAATCTGAGGTCATGCCTTAAAATCCCCACAGCAGTAAATAGATCAGTAGGCGGTTCCCAGTTCAGGGATGTATGTTTGACAGAGCATGGGTGATCAATAACAATTTGAAAGTTGAATATTTGTGTGCTCTTTATGTATCTAGTTCAACATATTAGGGATTTCTATTTTTTTTTTTAATGTTTATTTTTGAGAGAGAGAGACAGACTGAACATAAGCAGGAGAGGGGCAGAGAGAGAGGGAGACACAGAATCCGAAGCAGGCTCCAGTCTCTGAGCTGTCAGCACAGAGCCCGACGCAGGGCTCGAACTCACGAGCCATGAGATCATGACCTGAGTCGAAGTCAGACACTTAACTGGCTGTGCCACCCAGGCGCCCCAGAGATTTCTATTTTAAAGTAACTTAGGTTTATCTGTGTAATTTTGTTGGAATTTAATTGGTTACTAAAGTAGTAATTTATGTACACCTAATGACATTGGACAGCAAGTCCTATTATGTACTGTACTGTTACATATATATAATTATATATATACATACTATACTATTTTTCATGTGTTTTTTTCCCCCTAAAGTCAGGCTCCATTTTTTTACTGGTTTATCCAAGGTTTCCATTTTTCTCCTTTGTGACATAGTTTAATCATTCTGATAGGTACAGGGAATGGTAATGATACATAACCATGTACATAATGCTCAGATTTATTTAGCAACTACTTTTGCTCTGTTTAATTAAAATAATTTTAAAACTTTGATTTTACTTTTATCCAGTTGATGAAAATTCATTGTTGAAAATGTCAAGTAGCGCCAAAGACTTCTAACAAAAAGCAGGCCCTCTATTCCTTCTGATATTTACCTTAAGTGTTCGTTAATACTATGCGGAGACAAATTTCTCTGGATTCTGACAGTGCTGAACCAAGTAAGGCAGTGCGATGACTTTTTTTTTTTGGTACATTTTATTTTCCCTGGAATTTAGCCATTTCTTAATTTTTTCATATTTGCTTAAATTTGTTTGCAACTTGGTCTCTCAAACCATCCAACAGCTTTATAAAACTCCGTGTACTGTGCCATGTGGCCAGTGCCACACATGGCCCATCTGTCCGTGGATCCCCAGAGACTCTTCTCGCACTTTCAGCTCTGTTGTCATCTGAGCCATGGCCTCTAGCTGCTGGTGCCCTGTCGTCCTTGGAACTCCCATTTTCATCTCTGTAGCAGGATCCTCCTTGTTTGTGCTCGCTGTGCCTCCGGTGTTGGTGTGTGCTCTTGCCTAGGAAGAGGCTGTGTGGCCTCAAGCAGCTTTCGGAGTAGACTGCGAACGAGTTGGTGGTTAAAGTGGCAGGTGGAACGTGTCGTTTATTCATACTCTCAACTTTTCTGCATGTATGAAATTGTCTCTGATACGGTTTTCCAAAAGTGCACCTAGAAGATGAGGTTCTTTCTGAGACCCTGCATCAACATTGTCTTCATGCTGCCCCCGTGCTGGCGGGGCCCAGGATTCTAGGTGGAGGTCACTTGTCATTCAGAATTCTCCAGGCATTGCTCCGTCTCTGGCCTTCCAGATCTCAATGCTGCCATTGGGAAGTTGGATGCTGTTTCCAAACCTGTCTACGTGTCCAGTGGTCTTTGCCTCTCCTCTGGAAACTTCTGGACTGCTGCTTTATGTGCTATGACCTGTACTGCAGTGAATGTCCAGTTGGGTCTTTTTCACTTGGTGACATTTTCATTCGGTCCCCCCACGGGGGTTCAAAGATCCTTCCGATGGTACCCATCCTCTCTCTCTGGCTTTATGCACCTTGGATGTTTTGCTTCTCAGGTTGACTTTTTTTTCCCTAAACTTTGCCAATTATTCATTCCCATTTTTTCATTCTTAGGAAGTTACTGACTTTATTTCCCAGCCTTTTAAAAAGATTTCAGTAAGGGGCGCCTGGATGGCTCAGTCGGTTAAGTGTCTGACTTTGGCTCAGGTCATGATCTCGCGTTCATGGGTTCGAGGTCCACGTCGGGCTCTGTGCTGACAGCTCGGAGCCTGGAGCCTGCTTCCGATTCTGTGTCTCCCTCTCTCTCTGCCCCTTCTCCACTTGCACTCTGTCTCCCTCTGTCTCAAAAATAAAAATAAACGTTAAAAAAAAAAAGATTTCAGTAAGCATTTTAAATTTCTAGGAGCTCTTTTTTGTTCCGTTTGCTATTTCATAGATGCAGGTAGCTTATACTTCTGAGGCTATAAATTGCATTTTTTAAAAAGTATATTTTTTAAAGTTTATTTATTTGAGAGAGAGAGCATGCATGCACAAGGGAGCAGGGGAAGGGCAGAGAGAGGGAGAGAAAGAATCCAAGCGGGCTTTGTGCTGTCATTGTGGAGCCTGACATGGGGCTCAAACCCACGAATCATGAGATCATGACCTGAGCCAAAATCAAGAGTTGGTCACTCAACTGACTGAGCTATCCAGGTGCTCAATAAATTGCATTTTTTTTTTTAATTTTTTTTTTCAACGTTTTATTTATTTTTGGGACAGAGAGAGACAGAGCATGAACGGGGGAGGGGCAGAGAGAGAGGGAAACACAGAATCGGAAACAGGCTCCAGGCTCTGAGCCATCAGCCCAGAGCCCGACGCGGGGCTTGAACTCCTGGACCGCGAGATCGTGACCTGGCTGAAGTCGGACGCCTAACCGACTGCGCCAACCAGGCGCCCCTCAATAAATTGCATTTTTAAGAAGACTTTCTTGGGGGCACCTGGGTGGCTCAGTCGGTTAAGCATCCAACTTCATTCAGCTCAGGTCATGATCTCTGTCTCTCTCTCTCTCTCTCTCTCTCTCTCTCTCAAAAATAAAAATTAAAAGAAAAACTTTAAAATGACTTTCTTGAACTAGCTTGGCCTGTTAGGAATGTCTTTGTGTTGATTTGCTTTTTAGTCTGTTTCACCTGGAAGT